TCTGTATGTCAAAAATGCAGAAGTCCTCCTTCAATGCAATGACAGACATTTTATCTCTGTCAATTCATGGTTTCTTCAAGGGTTTCCTAATTTTACTTTTGAATCTTCATTTTTGTTTGCTTGACTTATTTCCTTTAATATATTTTCAGGTAATTCAGGTTGGTATCTGTATAAATAACCATATGGACGAAGATGATAAACGAGGTATTCTAATTCATACATAGTTGTAGAATCAACATAATGAAAAGAAACTGCAAGATCAGAACAGCAACCTGGACCCTCTATAGGAGGATAATAGTTATAATTCCAGTACCAAAAGGTTCTGGGGAGATAACCTTTGATTAAGTGGTGTTCCGGTACAAAGGGATGAAAAGTTTCTTTTCCAGTGGTGTCTCTGGAATCTCCTGCTTGGACATTTATAATTTCCATGCATCTTCCCAGCGCTAAGTCTTCAATGGAGGAACTATGTGTACATTTGTCTGTTTTGAATGCATCAACAAATCTCCGTAGGGCTTCTTTGCTTAGTACATATCCCGCTCCTCCACTCATGTAGCCCTGCTTTACATAGGGCTTAAATCTTCTCCCGAAGTAAATGGGTTCTTCAGGGTCATATTTTGAAAGAAGCCATCTCAAGTTGTCCAGTATGACATATGTATCATCATCAGCTTTCAGAAACCAATCGGCATCTTCTAAATAATGGTCATGAACATACTGAAAAGCTTTAATTGTTTTCCAGTATAGCTGATCTCTGCCTTCTTTGGTTTTTAATCCCACGGTAGGGAAGTCTTTATTTTCTTCTGAACTCATAAACAGCACTTTATTACAACGCTGGGCCCATGTTACTTTGACGTGTCTGGCCTTTTTCTCTAGATTTTGAGGGCCTGTCATAACCCAGCAAAGAATTTTAACTTTCTGATAGAGGTTTTCAGCGATGTCTGTGTTCTCATCTTTATGTTGGCTGGAATCTGCATTGAAGTTCATTTGTCCTTCTAGATGATTCTGTCCATTATCATCTGAATGCCTAGCATGAGGGTCATTATGAAGAATGTTAGGCTGGGTGTCACTGTGTTCTCCCAGCAAAATACTAAACAGTTGAGAACATAAAAAAAATCCTATTGCTGATCCACAGAGAAAGACTAAAAAATTCAGCCAAGATTTAGAGGCCATTTCCCGAAAGTTTATTTCTGACATCAGCCGCAGCTCCCTCGCGCCCCTCCCGGGGGGCGGAGAGGGGGACCTGTGCATTGATTTTATATCCTGCTACTTTGCCAAACTCTTCTATGAGTTCCAATAGTCTCTTACTGGAGCGCTTTGGATCTCCTAAATAAAGTATCATATCATCTGCAAAGAAGGATAATTTGACTTCTTCCTTCCCAATTTGTATCACTTTAATTTCTTTTTCTTGTCTAATGGCTCTGGCTAAAACTTCCAGAACTATATTGAATAGCAGTGGTGAGAGTGGGCATCCCTGTCTGGCACCAGATCTCAGTGGAAATGCTTCCAACTTTTCCCCATTCAATAGGATGCTGGCCGTGGGTTTTTCATAAATTGCCTTGATTGTGTTGAGAAACGTTCCTTCTATACCCAATTTGCTTAGAGTTTTCATCATGAAAGGGTGTTGTATTTTATCAAATGCTTTCTCGGCGTCTATTGAGATAATCATATGGTTTTCCTTCACAGTTTGTTAATGTGGTGCATCCCATTGTTTGATTTGCAAACATTGAATCATCCCTGCATACCAGGGATAAATCCTACTTGGTCTGGGTGGATGATTTTTCTGATGTGTTGTTGCATTCTAGTGGCCAAAATTTTATTCAGCATTTTTGCATCTATGTTCATCAGGGATATTGGTCTGTGATTTTCTTTCAATGCTGCTGAATTTGGTGCTATTGCCCACCCTACTCTCCCACCTGCCCATGCTCTCACCCTGCCTCCTCCTTCATTTCTTATCCTTTCTTTTAATTTTTACAATGACATACTTTCTGTTTGTTTCATAATCATAAGATTGACCCTCCACTAAGTAAATAATTCAATAAATAGTAAGAAGAAAATAGGTTAGATGGATATACCTCTGAGAGAAACTAATACTTGAGCCAAGAGTAGGGGAGGCAAGAGAGTTATCTAAATGGATTTATGGGTGAAGAGTTTGCCATGCAGAGGAAAGAATTTCAGCAGAGGCCGTGAGGTAGGAATATGCCTGCTGTTTCCAATGATTGTTAAGGGATCAACATGGCTGATATGAAATGAGCCCCAGAAAACAATAGAAGAAGTTATGAAGGCAGCATATCATGTAATATCTAGTAAGTCATGACATGTGATAGGCCTTTGATTTTAACTTTAGTAAAATAAGGAAACACTGTGGATCTATTATAGAAATTGCATACTCCCCTTATGTCTGAATTAAGACATAAAACAATCAATATTGCTGCTCTGTTAAAAAGAGAGAGTAATGGAAGGGAAAAATAAAACGTGTAAAATATAATTACAATGGCCTAGGCAATAACCAATTGTAACTTTGTCTAGTTTATGAACTGCTAAAGTAGTAAGAATCGGTTGAAATTTTCATTTTTCCCTTTCTTCAGCTAAGGGGATGACTCCAGGATACTACTAATGCCTGGGCCTCAAAGAAAGGATAGTATGGAGGTTGGAATATCAAATATATAAGGGTTGAAAGGATTAAGTATGTATCTAAGAAAATGTCTGGGGGCTGGTGCTATGGCTCAGTGGAGTAAAGCCCCAGCCTACAGTGACAGCATCCCATATGTGTGCGGGTTTGAATACCAGCTGCTCAACTTCTGATCCAGCTCTCTGCTATGGCCTGTGAGAGAAGTAGAAGATGGCCCAAGTCCTTGGGCCCCTGCACCCATGTGGGAGACCTGGAAGAAGTTCCTGGCTCCTAGCTTCAGATCAACTCAGCTCTGGCCATTGCAGTCATCTGGAGAGTGAACCAGCTGATGGAAGACCTGTCTGTGTGTGTGTGTGTGTGTGTCTCTGTCTCCCCCCCTCCCCCAGCTCTACCTTTCTCTGTAACTCTGTCTTTCAAATAAATAAAATAAACCTTTTAAAAAGAAAATGTCTGAAAACCAGAGATGAGAAGAAATGTGAATTGGAATAGAGTATGTAGGAGGAATTGTTAGAAAAGAAATCACAATCAAAGTGTATTTTGTTTATATTTTATGCTATAATTAAACATATTTAGATTCTCAAAGCTTTAGGAAATATAGAAAGAGTTACATATTCAAAACCACAGATTGTAGCACCATGAATAATACAAGGGCTATGTAGAGTCTAAGGTTGGCATCCGTATTAGGTAGGCATTATTTTTTTCTAAAGATTTATTTTAGCCTAAACAAGAGTGTCAATTTGTTAAGTCAACAACAGGAGTCACTGTGCACTTACTCCTCATGTAGGATCTTTGTCCTTAGTGTGCTGTACATTGAGATTTAATGCTATAACTAGTACTCAAACAGTATTTTTCACTTTATGTTTCTGTGTGGGAGCAAACTGTTGAAATCTTTACTCAATGTATGCTAAACTGATCTGTATATAAAGAGAATAAAAAATGAATCTTGATGTGAATGGAAGGGGAGAGGGAGTGGGAAAGGGGAGGGTTGTGGGTGGGAGGGACGTTATGGGGGAGAAGCCATTGTAATCCATAAGCTGTACTTTGGAAATTTATATTCATTAAATAAAAGTTAAAAAAAATGAAATAAAAAAAAACTTAAATTAAAAAAAAGATTTATTTTATTTATTTGAAAGACAGAGTTACGGAGAGAGGTAGAGACAGAGAGAGAGGTCTTCCATCCCCTGGTTCACTCCCCAGATGGCTGCAACAGCCGGAGCTGCACTGATCTGAAACTAGGAGCCAGGAGCTTCTTCCAGGTCTCCCACATAGGTCCAGGGGCCCAAGGATTTGAGCCATCTTACACTGCTTTCTAAGGCCATAGCAGAGAGCTGGATCAGAAGTG